CGGGGCTGAGGGTAGGAGGAGTTGGCTTGAACCTGGAGCAGAGGTTGCAGTGAACGAGATCCTGCCACTGCCACTCCAGCCTGGGGCAAGAGTAGGAATCTGTCTCTAAAAAAAAAAAAATTCTGGGATAGAGTTCTGTTCTGTTCACACATGCTGACATGCAATGTTGTCGATCATTGCTCACTGTAACCTCAAACTCCTGGGCTCGAGTGATCCTCCCCACCTCAAGGGCTCCCAAAGTGCTGGGACTAATAGCCGCTACCACTGTATCTGGCCTAATTTTTTAACTTTTTGCAGAAAAACAAGACTTCGCACAGTTGGTCTCAAACTCCTGAGCTCATGTGATTCCCTGCCTCAGCCTCCCAGTTGGTGGATTACAAGGGCATGAGCTTGCCTATGGCCTCAGGCTAGGTTTATTTTTATATTCTATAGACTATGACCCAGAATTAAAGGGAGGTTTGCCCTTGAACCTATGGGAAAATTGTCTCTCACCGCAACCATGGCCAGTGGTTCCTCAGCAGTCAGGGCAAAATTCAACCACACGCAGCCGCTGTCCAGCTTGCCGAAGCTACCAGACATAGAATGTATTATCTGCTGCCATCCAGGCCATTATTTAGACGCTTTCTGCTTCCACAAAGCAACTGCATTATCTGTATTTATTCACCATCAGTCCTACTCTGCTCTTACTTCCACTTTATGGGACAGTGAGTCTCAGAAGGCTAAGGTCTCCCAAGGCAGCTGTTAGGATTCCAATTCCAGTGTCTGGGGACTCCAGGAATCTTTGTGGCTTTTCTACCACATTAGATTTTCATGGTAACCAATGTCAAAATTCGCGCGATTCATGGATCTGGAGCGAGTTTAGTCCCCCTTGGCTTTCATCCCAATGCCAATTGCCATCCCAGCCCATTTCTATAAACCATTCAAATGGGCAATTTTTTTTGTGTTTTTTTTTTTTTTTTGAGACATGTTCTCACTCTGTCACCCAGGCTGAGGGGCGGGTGGCGCACAACCCAGCTCACTGCAACCCTCTGCCTGCCCAGGTTCAAGCGATTCTTCCTGCCTCGGCTCCTTGAGTAGACTGGACTCAGGCGCCAGGCACCAGCGCCCTGCTAATTTTTTTTGTATTTTTAGTAGAGATGGGGTTCGCCATGTTGGGCCGGCTGGTCTGAAACTCCTGACTCCACGTAATCCACCCGCCATCGGCCTTCCCCAAAGCGCTGGGATTCAGAGCCGTGAGCCACCGGCACTGGCCTAAATTGGGCAAGAATTTTCACTGTTCAGTGAAGAAACCCTTGTGCAGCCAATTTTCCAAACATTGCCTTGCCTTGGAAGGACTCTCTCAAATCATCAAGAGGTCTTCATTACAAAAGCATAATGGGAACGACTTGTAGGACAAAGTACAAAATATAGAAAAACAAAGAAAAGGTCGTTAATTCTGCCTTGAACAGAGAATTTAAGACTGTAACACTTGAGGTGTTTTACCTATTCCATGTTTTTAACTAAGACATGTGACTGGACTTATGTTTTAAAAATGACAAGTGTGCCTACCCATAATACCTCTTTGGGAAACCTGTTCTTTTTTTCTTTTTTTTTTTTGAGGATCTGGAGTCTTGCTCTTGATGCCCAGGCTGGAAGTGCAACGTGACGCTATCCTTGGCTCACTGGCAAGCTCTCGCCTCCGGGTTCAAACGCCATTCCTCCTGGCCTCCAGCCTCTCGAGTAGCTGGGGGACTACAGGTGCCCGCCACCACGCCTGACAATTGTTTGTATTTTTTTTAGTAGAAGATGGGGGTTTCCACTGGGTTAGCCAGGATGGTCTTGATCTCCTGACCTCGTGTTCCGCCTGCTTGGTCTCTCCAAAGTGCTGGGATTACAGTGGCGTGAGCCACTGTGGCCCAGGCTGGAACCTGCCTTTTAAATTTATATATGTAGCATTTTCCTGGAAATACTTTTTATGTCAGTCATTTTAAGGAGCTACACATATTTGATCTATAGTTTTTTTTGTTTGTTTTTTGAGATCAGGTCTCACTCGTTGCCAGGTAGGGTGGCAGTGGTGTGAATCTCACTCACTGCAAACTCTCTGTCTCAGGTTCAAGTGATTCTTGTGTCCCAAGTTAGCCTGGGACTACAGGAGACACCAACCACGGTCCGGCTAATTTTTTTGTATTTTCTTGGTTAGACGAGGAAGGAGGGTTTCACATGTTTTGCCAGGCTGATCTTGAACTCGTGACCGTCAAGTGATACGCCTGCTCGCCCTCCCAGAGTACCGGGTTACAGGCGTGGAAGCCACCACACATAGCTTATTTCATTATTAACATTGCAGCTTTATTATCATTATAATTTTTAATGTACTCAGTTAAATATTGTAGATTGTTCTTCTACTTTGCAATATTAAAACTAGTTTGTATGATCGGCTTTTTTTTTTTTTTTTTTGAAGACAGTCTCTGTAGGCTCTGTTGCCTAGGGTGGGAGTGCAATGGCATGATCTTGAATCACACTGCAACCTTGCCCCAGGCTTCAAGGCGTTTTCCTGCCTCACGCCCCTCCTGAGTGAGCTGGGCATTATAGGCCAATGCATCTGACACCTGGCTAGTTTTGGTATTTTTAGTAGAGATGGGTTTTCACCATGTTGGTCAGGGTGGTCTCGAGACTCCTGAGCCTTCGGTGATCCGCCTGGCCCTTGGCTGTCCCAAAGTGTGCTGGAATTACAAAGCGTGAGGGCCATTGACCACTGGGCCATTGATAGACTGTGTTTCTATAGGTAAAACTATACCGTTAATTTTCATTTTTATTTCTTGGATTATGAATGAAGTTGAATTTTTCTTTTTTTTTTGTTGGATTTTTGAGACGGAGCCTTGCTCTGTCACCCAGGCTGGAGTGCAGTGGTCGGATCTCGGCTCACTGCAAGTTCCGCCTCCTGGGTTTACGCCATTCTCCTGCCTCAGCCTCCCGAGTGGCTGGGACTACAGGCACCTGCTACCTCACCCGCTAGTTTTTTTAATTATTTTATTTTATTTTATTTTTTTAGTAGAGACGGGGTTTCACCATGTTAACCAGGATGGTCTTGATCTCCTGACCTCGTGATCCGCCCGTCTCAGCCTCCCAAAACTTTTTTCATATAATTGTTATCATTTGAAGCTCTTTTATGAATAGTTAATCCATACTGTTTGCCAGCTTCCCATGGTACACATTTTATTTTTTTTATTTTCTATTTTATTTTTATTTTTTGAGATGGAGTCTTGCTCTGTTTCCCAGGGTGGAGTGCAGTGGTGCAATCTTGGCTCACTGCAACATGCACCTCTCGGGTTCAAGCAATTCTTGTGCCTTAGCCTCCTGAGTAGCTGGGATTAGAGGTGCACATCACCACTCCCGGCTAATTTTTTGTGGGTTTTTTTTTAGTAGAGACAGGGTTTTGCCTTGTTAGCCATGCTGGTCTCGAACTCCTGGGCTCAAGTGATCTGCCTGCCTCTGCCTACCAAAGTGCTGGGATTACAGGCGTGAGCCACCATGCCTGCCTCCCTCCCTCCTGCCTTTCTGCCTGCCTGCCTTCTCCCTCCCTCCCTCCCTCCCTCCCTCCCTCCCTTCCTTCCTTCCTTCCTTCCTTCATTCCTTCCTTTTTCTTTCTTTTCTTTCTTTCTTAGACGGAGTTTCGCTCTCGTTGCCCCGGCTGGAGTACAATGGTGCGATCTTGGCTCTCCGTAACCTCTGCGTCCCGGGTTAAGGCAATTCTGCTGCCTCAGCCTCCCGAATAGCTGGGATTACAGACATGTGCCACCACGCTCAGCTAATTTTATGTATTTTTAGTAGAGACGGGGTTTCTCCATGTTCTCCCGACCTCAGGTGATCCACCCTCCTTGGCCTCCCAAAGTGCTGGGATTACAAGTGTGAGCCACTACGCCCGGCCGCATTTTGTTTTTCTTACAGATATGTAGGAACTCTTTATATTAAGGCTGAAATTTCAAACCCCAAGCAAATCAAACTTCTTAGAGGGCTCCTGGCTTCCTTAGGGAATGCTTCCTCCTCACCTGGGCACGAACCTTAGCCAGGGCAGCTCTCAGCAGCCCCTCTGCCCTGACTCCAGCACCCACCGCCTCCCTTACAGGGCTGTGGCCTGAGAGCTGTGGTGGCCCCACAGAGGTCCCTACTCAAGGCTTCAGAGAACCCTGGCAGGAACCTCTTAGAACTCCCAGGAAGGGAGTGAAGGGGAGCAAACGCCTATGGGGCGTTTGAGTCAGAGGAGAGTGCGCTGGTTGGGGAGGGCAGGAGGCACCAGTCTGGCACGCAGGGAACCCCACTCCTCCAGGGCCCCTGCTCTAGCAAGGCCTGAGAGCTGGTGAGCGCGCCCTTGCCCTGTTATTATCGCTGGCAGCTTCATTTGTGCAACTGGTGACAGGGACGCAAGTCCTTCCAGTCCTGGTCTCGTCTGTTCACTGTGCCTGGGGAGGGAGGCGCTCAGGCCTGTTACCTGCCTAGAGTCCTCAAGGGGAAGAGGTGGAGGGAGCCGGCTGGACTAGCCCTGCCAAGGCCGAGGCGGTGAGGACAGGATGAGTTTCTTACCCACCAAGATCATTACTTTGGAAAATTGGAACTGCAGGGAGGAGTTAGGGCATGGCGGGGGCGGACGTTGGGAGTTCCTTCCAGAGCTCCTGTGGGTTTGGAATGTCCTCGCTCACTCCGGATCCCCCAGCATCTTCCTTCCTGCATTTCCGTCTCACCCTTCCTCCAGGTCTGGGACATTTAAGAGACAGCTATGGCTGAGACATTAGCAGAAGCAAACACACCTGGCAGGGTGTGGCGGGGCCAGCCCTGGGCACCTGTGGTCTCCCTCCGGGTCTTGGGTTTAGTTCCCTGCAGTCAGGCTTCGGGGTGTCCCCACTCTCCTTCTACTTCCACACATTCTTGGGAAGACAGTGGCATGCTCTAGAGAAAGCCCAGGCTGCCGGGACGCTCTGCTCTGCAGGGAACGTGGGCTGACCATGGCTGTTTCTTAACTTCTTTAGGTTTGACTGCCCTTGTCTAGAAAGTGACAGTGACAGTAACAGTGCCAGCCTCTCAGGGTTGCTGGAAGATTAAATGAGATGCCATGTGCAGTATGCCAGACAGACGGCAGGTAGGTGCCCACCCAGGTTAGTATTTCTTCCTCCTTTGTCTTTTCTCAACTGTCTTGATATGGGGTGTACATTCGGAAGCTTAAGAGATTCCTGCTGGAGGGTGGAGTCTGTGGTGGTGGAGTCTCTGCATCCTGGGGCAACCTGGCCCCCTCCAGTCTGCACTTCTCACCCTCCTCTTCCGCTGCCTGGACTGGGCCGTGTTTGTTTCCCCAACTCGAAGGTGACCTTCTGGACGGAGGTCATCTTAGGCATCCTCAAAACCTGAGCACTGCCCCTGGCACAGAGTGGGTGCAGAGACTGAGTGTTTGGAGACAAAATGAAGAACTGAATGGGAAGGACTTGAGGACCCAAACTTTAGAGTCTAGCAGGCGTCAGGTCAGAGCCCAGCTTCATCACTTGCTCACCATATGACCTTGAGCAAGATCGTTAATTTCCCTGAGCCTCAGTTTTTTTGCCTAAAAATAGCAGCAATAATAGCTACCTCCTAGGGTTGTTTTGGGGACTAGAGATGATGTCAGTGGCTTCGGCCTGACGCGTAGTAGGAGCTCAGGTAGTGCAAGTCATGATTAGCTGCTATTACAGGACTATTTACTTCTGCCCCCAAAGCCAAATCTTGCCCCAAGAACTCTTGGTCTTTTTTTTTTCTTTCTTTTTTGAGATGGAGTCTCACACTGTTGCCCAGGCTGGAGTGCGGTGGCACAATCTCGGCTCACTGCACCTCCGCCTCCGGGGTTTAAGCGATTCTCTGCCTCAGCCTCCCGAGTAGCTGGGATTACAGGCGCGTGCCACCATGCCTGGCTAATTTTTGTGTTTTTAATAGAGACGGGGTTTCACCATGTTGGCCAGGCTGGTCTTGAACCCCTGATCTCAGGTGATCCTTCCGCCTCCGCCTCCCAAAGTGCTGGGATTACAAGCGTGAGCCACTGCACGCGGCCTCTGAGCACATTTTAAATGACCTGTTTTCTTTGTGTTTTACTCTGTTTTATTTTATTTTTATTTATTTATTTTATTTTTTGAGACAGAGCCTTGCTCTGTCACCCAGACTGGAGTGCAGTGGCGCGATCTCGGCTTACTACAACCTCTGCTTCCTGGGTTCAAGTGATTCTCCTACCTCACTCTCCCGAGTAGCTGGGACTACAGGCACGTGCCACCACGCCTGGCTTGTTTTTGTATTCTTAGCAGAGACGGGGTTTCACCATGTTGGCCAGGCCGGTCTCGAACTCTTGACATCGTGATCCGCCCTCCTTGGTCTCCCAAAGTGCTGGGATTACAGGCATAAGC